GACGCGCAGAAATCCCCCGAAGGGAGTCGTGGAGGCTCTTTAAAAAGGAGTCAAGTGACTCTATTAAACTGGAGTCGTTCCACCTTCCATCGTCAGCTCTGTGTGTAACAGATGCCATTATCATTAAGCGTTGTTTAACCGATTTTCTAAGTTAACGGTTACTATGTTCGTGTTTCTTAAGGTGTCATTCTGTTATTCAAGTGTGATTTTCCTTTTGTAACCCACTCTCCTCTGTAATGCCCTCAAGCCCCTGAGGGTACAATAAATAAATAAATAAATAAATTGGTATGTGCGGTGCAACAAAAAATAAGAGACGCGATAAAAATGATATGGTACGCCCGAAGCTCTTCAATCGTCCAATCTTCCAGAAAAAAGAAATCCGCCAGTAAGGTATTTTAGGAGAAATAATTCGTGCAAACGACGATGAATATAAAGACAGACCGTCCCGAAATAGTTTTACTCGACAACGAATTGAACAACAAAGTGTCCTACCATTGGGGAGAAGTCAGCAATGTTCTATGCCGAAACAAAAATACACAACCGAATGTGTATGTTTGCATGTTTAAATAAAAATAATTCACAACTGAAAAAAAAAAAAAAAAAACGCTGTAGACGCTTACTCTCTACTTGCACGAAGTTGTCGGGAATATTTGAAACGAACAGTGCACGCAGTAAAGAATACTTCACGAGGTTGGCGATGATGCACCCTTGTGCCCCAACAAAGCGCGCCTCCGTCAAGCACTCGACCACCGCGCGGACGGAGTGGAAGCGAAACAAACAAAAAGACAAACATTTTTGTGGCTTGGCGACGTGACGGCTGGCGCCGGGCGGCGGAAGACGGCAGCTAAGCCGCGCAACCCGCGTGCAACACGAGCGCCAGCGCCACAATTACGGTGATTGCGAGAACTATACTTCTGAGTGAGTGACGTCAGTAAGTGCGCGAAGAAGTGAGTTCAATGAGGGGCGTGAGTTTGTGAGCTCATGAGTTCGGTAAGGTGCGTGAGTTTATGAGTTCGATGAGTCCATGAGTTCGCTAGTAAGGACATCAGGGTGAGTGTGGCCATGAGGGTGAGGGTTAGTGAGTTTTTCACTTTTTTATTTTGAACTGGTTGAGTTCAACCGAAAATGGCGATCTCTGCTCATGCATTGCCAAACTCATGAACTCACGCCCTCACCTAACTCGTGAACTTACCAACTTATTGAACTCACTCCCTACACTCAATCTCAAACTCATGAGTTTTCGAGGCTTACGAACTCACTCACTGAGTGAGGTGAGCGCACTCATGAATGAGTTTTCCCGCGGTATATACTTTACTGAAATCAGCTACCAGAAAAGCAAGTCTCAAAAGACGTAAACTCCCAGTGTGATGCATTGTCAAAGTGCTAATACTCGCTCTTTCAACAAACTGCCAGTTCTCTTTACATGTAAAAAAGTGCATAAAATATTTTACTCTGGTTTGGGGATTGGTTTTCTTTTATCTGATGTGCGCCTTCTGTGCACGAAAGAACCGGTTTTCTGATTGTTTAAAGGAACCATGAAATGAATCTTGGGCTGTGATAAATGAATTTAGATTGGAACTATTCTAATAGCATATCGTTTTGTGGGCCAAAAGAAAGAAGGTAGATAGTCATAAGCCTGCTTTTCGATAAGAAAATTTAAAACATAGCGGACTATTTTACACCTCCTTTCCTTCAAAATCTATTCGCCTTTTTACTGTGATACATCTGTGGGACCCAAAGCACGTCAGCAGGCCCCAGCTCACCCATTGGACACGAGCACAGCGTCACTATACTACTTTGTTCACCCCTAAGCTGACAGTGCGGTGGGAGCTATGCGCTTGCCCAACCAATCAAGCGCCTCCCTTTCATCACCTGACCCTATTCTCTGCGCATAGGTATGCACGAGGGAGTGTGATCACGTGGCAAAAGATAGAAGTGTGGCTGGTCCAAAGTTCTCGTAGTTCCCACAGCACTGTCATCTTAGGGGTGAACAGAGAATAGGGAGTTTTCGTAGATCGTTTTCGCCGTCCCGCAAGGCCCTCCGCAACACGCTACGATAGCGGGAACTCCACAGTCAAGGCTATCGGCGCGCAGGCGCAGTAGCAACTTCTTCGTTGCGGAACGCTTAGCGGAAGGGGCAGCGCAGTCTACGAAAACTCCCTAATAGTTGCCCGCAATACTGCGGAAGCAAAGAGGGGGGCGGGGGAGGAAGCAGTTTCTGTCCGGGTATCATAAACAAGGGTCCGAGCAAGAGGGGAGTTCCTTCTTTCTTTTCTCTTGGAACTCTTTGGTAAGGCGCGCAGCCTTACCAAAGAGTTCCAATTTGTGACTTGGAAGAAGGCTAAAAAGCAAGAAATTAAGAAATCGTTTCATGGCCCTTTAAAAAAAGAATGTGCTCTTGGCGTCAGGTTGATTTTGTATTTGCCCCTCCCCCCCTTCAATGTCACAAACGCTGTAAAGAATATGGGAAAAACATACCTTACCGTAAGTTTCTGTTAGGCAAGTGTAATCTAACAAGTACTTTTTGTGGTACCAGTTAAAAAGAAAAACACCACACCAAAGATGTACTGTTCAAGAGAGTTTTTAGTATAGTACTTCATAAGTGAAATTTGCATGTTGGTGGTAAGCTGATGCTTCTGAAGCCTTTTAACAGAATATGCGTTCCGTCGAGAGGCTTCCATCTCACGACGTTCTCCTGTTGATGTTTCTGTTGAGCCAAATTGCCATTTTGCTCAAAAATATTTTCTAGAAAGGTAAATGATTAAAAATGACAAGCGTTAATATATGCCTAATAGTAAAAGCGCATTGTGATTTTAATTAACTGGAAACAATAAACACGGCAATCGGGGGGGTTTTGTCCTCCCAAGTAAAGAAACTGTTTTTTTTTTTTTTTCCGCTGTAAATAAGACAATTCGTTGAAAAAATATGGCACCGGTTTTGTAAGCAATATTTTTTATCCTTTGGCTCTCTATGCACGACATTGTTACTGGGAACTGTTTCGCCATGTCGTATCACTCGGTGTCTTGTTGTCTTATGGAAATTATTGTTTGTAAGACACGTGTGCATAAGACAAATGACAGTCTAGACAATAAATACTGTTTGTGTCAATAACTTTTTTTTACTACGGGTGGCGGTTTGCATTACCTAGCCAAAGCTACTAATTCCAACAATGTACTAATCTCTGATTGAATTCTGATTTAATGGACAAGGGCAAAGAATCGCATATCCCCGCTAAGCAAAAACATTCATCTAGCTACTGTTCTCGGCGAAAGTTAACAACCCGTTTGACTGAGTTGCCCCTTCGCAAACTGGTGCGCGCACTTATCGCCCTACGCATTGGAAGGGAAAGAATGACAAAACTTCATTCTTCTCTCACTTATGCTACCAGACCGATAACCTGTTTTTGTAGTCTCCGCTTTCCCAACGACCATTTTTTCTTCGCTGCCTTTGAAGCTGACGCCTCGAGTAAATCGGTACTGCCTTGAGCAACTGCAGGGTGAAGCCCTTTAGCTTACAATTGCAACTTTTACAGTGAAGTACTAAGTGTTGAGCAGTCTCCTTTTCCTCCCCACATGCTTAACACACTGTATTTATGTCCTGATCTTTCGTTCTGTATTCCCCAGTTCGCAACACCCCGGTCCTGGTCTCAAGCAACGAGCTTCCCCTAGAATTGTCATGGACACTTTCCCGTAGCAATCTCCATCTTATATTTTCTATTAGTCCCCAGATACGACGTAGTCTGCATCCCCCCTTACCATATTTCCCTCTTTGCTGCTTTAACTCTCTTAAAGGCGCGTTCCCACCGGCGATTTGATCAAGTCGCGCGATAACTTTCATTGCAAAAGCGACCATCGCGGGCAAAAGGCGACGCGATTTGAGCAGTCGCTACTCGACCCGACTTTTTTGCGACGCGATCTAGTCGCGGAGCGGCTGAGCCAATCAACGGCGTTCGAAGCCAGAGTTTTTGAGAGACGACTCGCCAACGAAGGCGTTGGACTCGCTCATCGCGCACGCCGGTGTGACCATCTAGCTTTTATTGCGATGTGATCTAGTCGCATCGCGCGACTGCTTACATCGCCGGCGGGAATGCGCCTTAACAGTCATTTCTTGATCCGCGCGTCCATATTATCGCCCACAAAATTTCGACCAGTTTTTTCTTGTTCGCTTCCTTTACTTCGCATCGACGCCCTTCATGCACAAATAGGGAAAAACTCCATGCCCATCGTTTTTCCTCCATGTCCAACTTCTGCCTTACTACTAGCTTCCCTAACCTCAAATGATGACCATCCCATATCACCCTGCGCCGCCCGATTCGGTGTTTTACCGTGCATCCCACGCCGCGTCTAACTTTGCTTGAATAATAGATTTCATACACAGGACTGCGTCGCCAAAACTTAAACTCAGCACCATAACTTACCGCCTAAATCGTTCAAGGGATGCTGAACTGAAATGTAGACTTTGCAAAATAAGGCCGCAGAAACGTTGAACAGGACTCTACAAACTCCAAAACATCACTTGTACTTTAATATATCGAACAAATGGCCGTATTTTTGGAAAAGGGAGCGATCAAGTGAGGAATGTGACATCATGATACTCCAGGAGCAGTTGAGAATGAGGGGAAGCGACCTTGCCTCTCATTCTCGCTTCGGTTTACCTGCTCGAGGGAACAGTGATGAGGAGAGGGAATGAGAACTGCGACGTCACGTCTCGTCGGCCGTGTTGAATCGCGCACTTTTCCAAAAATACAGCCATCTCTTAGAGATATTGCTGTACGAGGGATATTTTTTGGGTTTTGCACCGTCCCGCCTATCGCTCCAGCCTTATTCTGCGAGTTCCGAATTTCGCTTCGGCATCCCTTTCAACCAAAGAGCCTCAGGCACTGGCATTCACACACTTTAATTTCCTTTAGAATCTTCTGTGCTACCAGCACAAACAATGTCAGTCAAGAAAGCCTGCCGTCATTCACTCAAATATTATTCACTAAAACAAACACCATTTGATTGATTTGCATTTCTTTTTATTCTCTCCAACCACATTTCCTCAGATAGGATGACCCATCCACTTTTGACAAAAAGAAAGCATACCCCTTTGTAGACACAAACAGATGAACTGCTGATTGTACTCTAGACATACAAAAAATGTATGTTCTTCTCTGAGCTCAACAGCGGCATCAATAATAGACTCTTACCCCTGTTTATTAACCATTCCTTGTCAATCACCATTTCTGCAATGCCATTGTTTAGTTTCTTGTTCTACATTGGTCAGTCACTTCCTAGCTACATAGCTTATCAGGGGCAGGTGAAGATAACTTTCAAGCTTAAATAATTTAAGTGCACTCGTGTCGAAATACAACCTTACGTTGAGGCACGTTCCGTCCATCAGGAGTAAATCTGAGGCAACTCTGCGATTTGAATTACGCTCGTCCAGATAAGGTTAGCAACTACTGTTAACAGCATAGCCACACTTTCCAAAACCAGCTAACAATGACTAGCAGAAAAAAAAAAAAAATCTCCAGGACATCGGGAAGGTTTTGACAGAGGAGCTCTTCATGGAGCAAAACAAAATGTACATCCATTTTTACAGGTCATATTTTGAAAAGAGGTTGCATCCTGTTCACTCTTTTTTCTTATTCCTCCAGTATTCTCTCCAACGTCCCACGAGAGAAGGTTGCAGATCTTGCTCATGCTCGAAGATCTACCACAGTCACCGGAGCCTTGTCGTCTATTCGAACATGCTTACATTCCTGCAAGAAAGGCACCTGTAAGATCTCCAAAAATACACTCCACAACCTATACCTCGGTCGGGTGAAACAGTCAAAACACATGTGGTACATCGGACGCATGACCAGAGGTTCCAGTTTGTTTTTCATTGTGCTACGACTGAATGAATCTATGAAGTGGCGAGCAACTTGATAGCCATTTCTGTGCAGTTACTGCTTCTATTTGTGACTCAATAGCAACAAAAGGCATGACACAAAGACTGGGAAGGTGTAACATGGGCTGAAACTGACAACTTAATATCTCTTAGAAGACGGCAGGGATGGGCAGTATTTCAAATACAAGTATTTGAAATACGTATTTCAAATACTTTTTGTATTTTGCATTTGTATTTAATTACAAATTGGGTAATGCATTTGATGTGTGTATTTAAACACTAAAACGTGGGTATTTCAAATACAATTGTAATTAAATACAATTTTGTGGGCGAAAATACATCCCTCAAATTTATTGTCACGGCTCAATTTGCTCATCCTAAGACGTGTCCAGAGCAGAAAGAAAACTATGTTCTGCACCGATTGCAGTATCTCTCAATCAAGCACAAGCGTTTAATGACTTCGTGATTACGGTGCTGGTCCAGGGCAAGAATAGTGACGAAATCTACGTTCACAGGCAGACTGGCTAAATAAGTGGCTGTGACAACTTGTGATTCTTTCCAGCCTGATTTCCAACTATACTTTTGCCTGGAACATTCTGAATGCGCGGGTCATCCAGATTTTCGTAACTGGTGCGAGTAGCAACAATAAAAAATTCTCTAGCTAGTGCTGCGCGTCTTGGTCGTCTCGGTTCTTTGTTGGTCTATACCAAAATGTAATCGACAAAAAAAGCTGCTTGAAGCTCTGTACTTTTTCACCTACTACGGCCAAGCTGATTACATTTTTTTGTGATTACATTTCTATTACGTTACTAGAGCCTCGCACACTAACTCCCGAGTGTGCGATGCAAAATTAAAATAAGATACCCAGAAACCCGTTGCAGGTGCCCTGAAGTCGCTGAAGCAAATTTTGAGGAATGTATTTCGAAAAGTATTTGGAGGAGACCAAATACATTTGGTTGTATTTGTATCTTGCACTTAAATGCTTTTTTGGAAATGTAATTAGATTTGTAATTAAAAACATTTTTGGCGAAGTATTTTGTATTTGTATTTCGATACATATTTGCATGTATTTTGCCTATCCGTGGAAGACGGGCACACCTCGCCCTCCTTGTCTTTTACAAACAGGCTTGAACAATGGCGCCGAATTCGCATGTTCGTGCCCCTGAATCCAGTGGCAATGCATTTATGATGGATTAGAACTGGAAGGTGTGCCAAGCAAGCTATCCCAGTGTTAGAGGAAGCAAACCCTCTATCGGACTCCATCTCTACGGTGGCGAATGGTGCTGCCATGCAAGATGTGGGAGGTCCGGACCACGTGCGGGCAACCATAGACACTTGAAATGTAGCAATGAGAAGCACCACAAGGAAGACTACCAACCACTGGTATTTTGTACCTGGATGCAATTCCGGCTAGCATAGTCTCAACAAAGAAAATTCATTGACTCCGGCTCCCAGAGACACCACATAAGAATTGTGATACCACTCTTGTACCCTTGCCTTACACACAGTTCCTGTGACATTTATGACGAAGACCTCTGCTCGAGCAGCAAATCAGCTCGAGATCCTGCAAACTGTACTATACTGTAAACAACCTCATTTTTGCGGGCTCGATATATTGCAAATTTTGTGAAGTGTGGGTTTCCAAGAATATTTCGTAAGCACAAAATTTCGCGATTGGAAGTGCTATGTTATGTGTCAGTTACCGTGGGGTAATATAATGCATATCTATTTTTCGCAATATTATTCGAGTCACAAATTTCGTGACAATGAATTTGTTTAAAGCGTGCTCATGCCACTTAGTATGTGCTAGTTCAATCAACGCTACAAAGGCCTTCAGCTTAAAAGCTATTCCAAATACTTGTGAGTATTAAAGTTGAGAAAACAGCACTGTGGAATGCAGGTTTGCCGTGTCTGCAATTAGCGGCATCGGTTCCCGTGTCAGACGAGTTCGTAGCAGGTACCCGCACGTTTATCGCTCACTTTTTATAAAATTTTTCCATGTATCTCATAAGATCACTCGCCCGATATTTCTCACCATTTATCTCTTCACCAAAAAGGGACATTTGTTTGGAATTTTATGGCAGTATCCATATCTTGTGCTGCTTTATGTTGTCAGCACCTATGCTTTGCAATATCCAAGCAGCGCATGAAACACTGCCATGGGGCGTATTTCACTCGAATAATTTGAAAACCAGGGACTTCGAAGAAGCCGGGTGCTGAAGGCACATGCTTTGCTAACGGTTTCGCCTTCCCCTCCCTCTCGGCCAATGCACCTACATCTATATTTGTGATGTGTACGACCCTTGCTTGTTCCTTGCCGTTTTTCGCATCTATCCGTTGAAGAAGGGCGTCCGCCCGAAACGTCCCATATACCTTCTTGTCCACATTCTTTTTTCGAGTGGCACAACCATATATTTGCGATATCATGTTTAAGCTCATTATGCTGGGCAGTGCCCCCATTCTCTTGGCTCCACACAATATGTCAGCTCAGCTATAAAAGCACACATGGCATAAAACAAATGGTAGCCCCAGGGCAGTGAACGCAAGATGCCCCGGTCAGTTGTTACCGTATATTGCCGCATATAAGTCGACCTTTTTTTCAGGAAATGGGTATCTCAAATTAGGGGGGTCGACTTATACGCGGAGTCGACCTATACGCGGGGCCTAAAAATGCGTCTAGACGAACGACAGATCCTAGGGACTTTTTTTCCTCACAAGGAACTAGTTTCGTGGTGCTCGAGAGCCAGCTAAGCCGTTACCTGCATAAACTTGTTCTAAAAACAAAATTATAATATTTTTAAATCTTAATTTTACTTTATAACACCTTTAGTCGCATGAAACTATTAAAGTTGTATCAGGAAAGCGTTTGCGGTTGAATCATAAACTTATCTAGGGACTCCGTGGAGGAAACGTAGGGACTTGTACCTAGGTACACAAGCAAAAGCACGCGACCGCGGCCATGTCAGACCCTTGTTTGTCACATGTCTGTTCAGTAGCCTTCACGAAGTGGAAGAAAATGCCGCCTCAAGCTAGGCGTCAGTACAGCGCGGCGTTCAAGAGGAAGGTTATTTTGTTCGCTGAGGCGGCGAACAACGTCGCGGCGGAGCCTCACTTCGGTGTCTCAGAGAAGTGCGTGCGGGGATGGAGACAACAAAGGCAGAAAAGAAGAAAAACAACAGTTTGCCAGCGGCTGCCCGACGCCTACGAAGAGAAATCGCGGGCATTTCATCGATACGTAACAGAAGTAAGAACGAAGCACTCCCTCATGCTCGGCCAGATCGGCAACGCTGACCAGACGCCGGTCTGGTTCGACATGCCGAGTAGGACGACTGTCACCGGCAAGGGAGAGCGCCAAGTTCCCCTCCTGACGACTGGGAACGAGCACAATCGTTTCACGGTCATGTTGTGCTGCACAGCAGACGGCCACAAGCTGCCTCCCTTCATCGTCTTCAAGCGGAAGACATTGCCAACTAAAGAAGTGTTTCCGCCGAAAGTTATTGTTCGAGTGAATGAGAAGGGCTTTTTTAATGAAGAGACCGTACTCGAGTGGTTTCGCCTCGTTTGGTGCAGGCGCCCGGGTGCGCTCCTGAAACCCCGGAGCATGCTCGTGTTAGACTCGTTCCGCGCCCACATTACGGATCGCGTGAAGAAGGCGGTGGCGAATGCGGGTTGCGACCTGGCAATCATTCCAGGCGGGATGACGTCGGCTCTCCAGCCCCTCGACGTGGTTTTAAACAAACCATTTAAAGATCGTGTTGGAGCATTTTACAACGAGTGGCTGAGCCGGGAGGACAACCCGACGACTCCGACAGGCCGAGTGAAGCGCGCGTCTTTAAGCACCGTGGCGACCTGGGTCAACGATGCCTGGTACGGATTACCGGATGACATGGTTTGCGAGGCCTTTTCGAAATGCTCAATATCGACGCCGCTTCAGCCGACCGAGCGCGCTGACCCGGACTCTAGCGACAGTGACTGCGTCGTAGTGTCGAGCGATGATGAGTAAACCACCGTTTACTTCTGCGTGTAAATATGCTTCCATGCCAATAAACAAATTTTTCTAATTTCCCTAACTCGTATGAGAAAATTTTTTTTTCGTGTCGTAGTCTGAACAAATCGACTTATATTCGGGAGTCGACTTATATTCGGAGTCGACTTATAATCGGCAATATACGGTAGTCAGCATGGCTGGTGGCGAAGAAGGCCAACTTTTGATAGGCCATGCCGCCGAACGATTGAACAACGAGGGCTGCGTGAGAGTTCGGCGGGGCACTCAGAAGCTCGAGTGGACCCGAAGGAAAGTTCGATCGGGTCCAATAATTATGGCCAAAGGACATCTCTGAATTGCAAGAATTCTGCACAAGATGGCGTTACCTGTCATACCAGACTTTGTCCCTGTCGGTATGGCGCTGAAATACCAAGTGTCACCCATGACCCTTGCTTCTATTATAAATGTATGTGGACACTTGAACCTCCCAGTACCTCTGCCAGCTATGCTTTATCATCCACCCCCTTGTAGGCTACGTGACTGAAAGAATTGGGAATGCAAACATGGCACAATATTTAGAGTCAAATTAGCATAATCAGAATGGAATACATGATTGTTGTCATTTCATTGGTCATTTCCATGTCAACCAACCTCGTAAAGTGGTGGATCCTTGGGGTGAGGATGGAACCCAGTGGCATGGCAACCGGAGATGAATGGCAGTCCATGCTCAACTGTTAAGCTGAAGATCTTGTTCCTGAGAGGGAAAGAGCAATGTTGACAAAAGGCACTTGAGAAAAACAGATGGGGATTGCTATAAACGTAAATAGTCTTTTCAAAACACAGGCAACAATCCAAACTGTATCTCAATCAAACTACAGCGTAGAAAACAAGACATCGGTGGGAAGCTATTTAGTTCACTGTACAAATTGACATTTTTATGAAGTTCTTTGTTTAGTTGAGTACACAAACACCTTTCTTCTTCAATTTTAAACAAATCCCAAGTATGCCAAATATAGCAATATAGAAAAAAGCCCCGAACACGCGTCTGCGTAAACAGATTATATTGACAGATGGAACCACAGAATGTTTTAAATTTACCCTCTATGGGAGATAAGATTTTTATAGTATGCTTATTTTTATAAAATGTGCTATGTTTTCTTTTAGATTTCTTCCAATCGCTTAGCAGTGATTTCACCACTATGCACGCACATTCCCACAAAAACAGGGCGCGAGGTTTCATCGAGACAAAATGACGGAAAGGCAGAAATGCACCTCTAAAACGGGATTGTCCCGGCCAAAGCAAGAGTCACCCTACACCTGAGGCAACAGGCTGTGTCTGACATCTAAAACCTGTCCTTTCCCCCACCCTTGACTGTTAATTTCAGGCATTTCAACCCTATTCCAGCCATTCAGACAAACCCCTTACCATTTCATGGGTCACAGTGAGAAAGGCTTAAAAGGGCATTGCAGCATCAAAAGCTTTTTAGAAGCTGCCTGGATGGGTCACACATGTCACAAAAAATGCACTTTATCCACCCTCTCAAGAAATAAAAAAAAAATACAATATTTAAGTTGTGAGTCACACTTCGAGCTCTGACTAATTCCTTCCGCTTCTGCGTGCTGGTTTGAAAGGATGTAGCTCCTATCTCGAGATCAAGTTATGGTGACCTCAAAATAGCAACTTTGTCAGCTTCTTATAGGCTGGAAGCAACATGGAAGATAGGTATGTTCTCTGTGCGCCTCTCCTCCGCGTACTTGTGATGTTGCCTCTGCAAAACCTCTACACACTGCAAAAAGGCGGAAAAGAGGAGGATCGACCCATATGCTCCATGCACGGCTCGCTCAACCTCTTCGTCTTTCTAATAAACCAACACGGCTCGCTCAACCTCTTCGTCTTTCTAATAAACCAATTTTTCTCTACATCTAAAGTGTGTTTCAAGACAAATACTGTATTATCAATTTTCCTTTTCGAAGAAAATAGATTTCAGGACAAATATAGCCTATTCAGGCAGTCTAAAAACTAGGTGGACAGCGAAGAAAAAGACAACGTCGGGTCGCCGAGCCAGAGGCGAGTGGTTAGATTCCTGCGGTGAGGCAGTCTTTTGTAAAGACGACTGACCGTGTCATCGCGTTTTCGTTACCTTTTGTGGTGCTCTAGACTTCGAAGCCCGATTCTGCGTTAAAAGATGCACTCTGGGCGCACAGTGTCCCTTTAAACAAATTCAAAAACCGTTAATCCAGCCATTGACAACTATCCTGAGAAGTAAGATGTTTGAAGACCTCATCAAATTCTCTTTCATCGACCACAGCCTCATCAAACAGCAGCAGGCTCCAGTACATGGGCGTCGGCAGGAGGGTACAAAAGGGGCACTTGCCCCCCCCCAAGTTAAAGTGCCCACCCCCCCGCCCCTCGCCATTCCCTTCCCCAGCTCTCTCGGGTACGGGGGATCGAATGGCGTCGCAAAATAGCTTTTCTAGCAAACGGAGAAACCAAAAGCTATACTAAAAATAAAACCCACGCACTTTTGTTTCCTTTGGATCCTTCAGCAATAAACACAAAAAAAGAATAAGGTCTCGCCTCGGTCAGTTGCAATCAGACGCGCCCAGCTGGCAAAAAAACAAACGAAAAAAACATAGGGAGGAACACTTCCGAGAACACCGCAGTCCTGTGCTGTGAGGAATCACAGGCATTCGGGTAAAAGTCAGTAAAATGCCCCAAAAACAAAGCATCTTCACACAGCGGGATTCTTCCAAGAAGCCCAACAGAACAAATTGGCGCAGCTACGAGTTGAAGATAGTCCACGCTTCCCCTTCGCTCCCTCTGCGTAAGGAGTGGAGCGAGCGGGCCGTGGGGGGAGGAGGGGGGTACCTTCGGCATTTTGGGGTGGTTTCGACCCCCCAAACCAACCCCGCCTACGCCACTGCTCACGCCAGTGCTCTGTTTTGTATATGTGCCTTTGGGTTTTTCTTCTCCTTTGCCCGTAGCATGTTGCGGTCATGGGAAAGGAGAAAAGGGGGGCCAAAATCGGGCCAGGCGTCCTTTTCTGAACAATGCAGTTCTGCGAAACTCTGTTCGCACCATGTCAACAACGATACTCCCCCGGGCCATAACTCACGCGGGAGAGGAGTGTCAGACCGTCCTTGTTGACACCACCGTGTTCACACGTGTGACACTTGAATATCTGTGACAGGGCACACTTTGCAGTTGCTGCTTCTCTCTTCCTCGCCCAGTTGCTTGAAAAAGTCACATTCCGCACCCAATCCCACTTTTTTATATAACTGTGGGCTGATATGGGGGTCAGGAGCAAAAATGGACATCAGAAGCTTTTTTTGAACGAAAAGCTGACAGTGTTAATGACAATCCATCTTGTGCAACGGAGAAGCATGTGACCTCAGAGCCGCGTCATGACCCGGGAATCTATCAATGCACCTGCTGTCTCCGTCACTCCTGAGCATCCTCCGGTTTTAAAGAGTCAGCTGGACATTGGCTTTGCCCTCAACTCGACTCTCACAGGTATGTCAAACTAGTCTTTAACTGTGAAAGTGTTCATGGAGAGCCGAGCTTGATCAGATGTATAACAACCAATATAAAGAAAAGAACCAGAGGGCTAAAATTTTACTCCAGTTCCGAAATGAGACAGAGCGAGCATGGCAAGCTATAAGGGAATTTGCGTCGAGGAAATACGGAAAGTTACAATGGTAACTAACCCTTCGGTGGTAGCCCCACCGTGCTAGCTTTCCAACACAGCCAACGCAGCTTTCAGACGTCTTCCACGGACCACAACCCGGGAAATGCTTCAAATTAATATTATGAGCAAAGACAATTTGTGCAGAAAATTAGAATTAGACAGGCCAACTTGGGGTAGCTTTTAAAACTTGTATAAACGTCAAATATTGTTCAATATAGAAATAAAAAGGTATTGTTCACTGCTGTGACTTGCAAGTCACACGCAAGACAGTGCGTGTGACTTTCGTGCACTGTCTTGCTATTTTATTGTGAATGGTAAATTTATGATGCCAATACTTGTCTATAAAATCTTTGTGCTCTTTTATTTCTGAGAGAAGTATAAACTAAGTGGGCCGTTTTGTTGTTTTGCAACAACATAGAACAAAAAATATTGTGCTTGTATATATTTATAAAAATGTTTTTTTTTCTTGCACATTGAAATTACTGATGCATTGTACTTTTTAAAATAATTGTTTCATAAAAAATATGAGTACCTTGCAAGCTGTCCTCAGCTCTTTCGTATTTTACTGTGGGACCCCCCCCCCCCTTACCCTCGAGCGCGCACGCCCAAAAAGGGCTGTCAGTTTGCCCCCCCCCCCCCCCCCCCCAAGACAAAATCCCGCCGACGCCCAGGGTCCAGTAGGCTTTTTTTAAATTATTATTGCTGTTTTCTTTTTTTTGCTCTTTTGTGCTGGAAGTGCACTGGATTTTGCCATAACTTGCACAACCTCACACTTTGCTTTCACATAAGGTAAGGTAATGCATGCGAGTGTCTACTTGTGCTAGCATAGATATGAAAGAAAATGTGAGGATGTAGCGTGAAAAGTCCCAAAGGTCAATCTTTTTTAGAATTTATTGTAAGCAAACTTTTATGCTTCTCGTCAATTCTCCTCTCTTTTCCATAAATAGACCACCTAGCATAATAAGAGCATCGCACACCACACTTGTACCCAACCAAATGGTTGCCAACCTGTTTGGTTGGCAGGCCGTTTGCACGGCTTTCATTTCAATGAAGTTGGTATATAAACAAAATTGTGTTTAATCCGACCACATTGCCACAAAGATTAATTCAAAAACATTTTTGATAATTCAAAATATAGTTCTTTACCGGTTCATCTGAATTATGTTGCCCGAACAATAAGACAATTCCAGGACAACAGCTTTTCAGGAGGTAGAGTACACACAATCAGAACTCTGAATTCCTTCCTAGATATGTCAGAAACCAGAAGTTTCCACACAAGTAAAAATGCTACCGGCATAGTAATCCTCTTTTTTTTTGTTCTTCTTCTGACAATATGATGCAGCATCAAACTAGCTTTAGAAGCAGCTGCTCAAATTCCTTCAGAGTTGTGAAGTTCACAGTCCAACCCAATAAGACGCCATCTAGCAATTCGATAGACTGTCCTTCAGTGAAACCGCATTGAATAAAATCTCCACATTTTCAACCAAACGGCACTCGATAAAACCCCATTCCATATGTTTGGCACTGAGGGACACTTTGAACGTGCAATCATTACGCGGGAGCAAAATGTGCACTTGGGTGGCAAAGCCACTAGAAATCTTACAGTGCAAAAACCAAAGGCCGAAAGTACCCCAAAGAATAGTCGGGGAGCCTTGTGGTTAGACTTACTCTTCATATTTGGGGGAGCACACAATCGCAACGGCTTCTGGAAGCATCAGCTGGTAGCTGCAGTGCGTGTGCAGGTCTACACTTGACATGAAGGCCGTCTGTGTCGGATGGGTCTAGCGCCAGAGCAACAGAAAGGAGCTGTCAGCACCCTGCCACACCGTGAATAACGTGAAACAACTTGTGCAAACAAAAGCTGCAAGCCCATGCTTTCGAGGCTGGTTCAGACACTTGCATTTGGGTGTGACTGACTGCTTACGACGAGTGGGGTGCTATGGCAGCCGAGTTCCGCGCAACGCGTCGTGGTGGAACGAAAGGCGCCGTTACGCAGCCTGTCTAGCTCGAGTGCAAGTGTCGGAACCAGCCTTAGAAAAGTGCAAGGAAGTTGCATATGTTCCTCAAGGAACCAGGCATGTCTATGATACTAAGGGTGTTAGACAAAAAAAAGAACAGGCATTACAATGTGCAAGGAGACTGAACGACATGAACTGTCGCATTTTATTTTCTTCCTCATACGCATCGAAACGTTAGCCTTAGGCTAACGTTTTTTACCCCTGTCACAATGCAAACAACCTCCACTTTGTTTCTAATTGAGATATAATAATGTAACTTTGCTAACACATTCCTTACAAGTAGGCCTACAGGTTTTTCAAAATTATTTCTCTCCCAGGAAGTAAAAGAAGAAAGGATATAGAACTATTTAACACCAAAAAAGACAAAAGTAACAGCATCTCATATATTTTATTTGCTACGTACCGCTGCAGACCATCAGACTTAAACAGTATAATACAAAGCCAAAAATCCTGTTGTAGTGCACTGAAGCATGCTTCGAAAAATAATATTACTGATCCCATTGTACGACGACATTGTAGCTTCTACTCAGAAGCAACGTCCAATTTTAGAGTCTTGCTTGCCTCCTGACAGCGAGGACATAAAAAAACGGAGCTTTCCAGATATAAATTAAAATTTGTTATTGAAAAAAAATGTTTTCTTCATTTCACTATATTTTTCTGAAAACCCTAAGCCCTAATTACAAGATAGTGAATGTAAATACCTAAAATAAATAAACTAGTTCGGTCGAAGGCCAAAATTAAATAAGAAGAATGCTACAAACTGAAGGTGACCAGGTGTTGACGACTGGGCTCAAGCTATGAAAAGGTGGATGGGTGTTACATACGTGGATCCAGCCAACAGTGTCCAATCCCTTCTGGTCCTGGTATTCAAGAACTTCTTCTTCGTTCTCTGTGGAGCAGGAATCAGCTGTCCCCGACTGCTTGGGCACCAAAAGGTGGCTGATACTCAGCTGGTTCCCAGACTGCATTCAAAAGAGGATATTTATGCACCACAGCATGCTCATAACCAGTCAAAGTGACTTCCATAAGTCGACTTATCCAGAATTCCGGTCTCTCTTCTAGTACTGTCATACAATATGCTGGCTTTATATCAGGATCTGACAAGGCTAGTAAAATGGTTGCAACAAAGTGTAATATGGCTCGCCATATAGTGGAAGATGTGGGACTACTAAAGTTCGCAAGAGCCGATCGATAACACCGATGGCACCACAAAAAGTTCAAAAGAGGTGCAAATAAACGAGTGACAACCAATGGTACCCATATGTACCACTGATGCACCATTAAAGGACACTGACAGCCCCCCAAAAAAATCTTCTCAATTTTTGCCAGGCGATTCATTGTTGTGTCAGCAGACTACCAATCAATATTTTGCTAAAGCGTCACATATATTGTTAATAATGTAAAAAAAACGCAACTGCTCGAAGCCAAAACCGAAACTGGACTGGGGAGGAAGAAGAAATATAGAGGAGAGAAAGTTACCATAAGTCATGTGGCTGAACACTTTTTTTTTTTTGAAATCAACTCTTTGCAGTTTTTTAGAAGCAGCTAAGAATGGGTATCATATTTTTGTCTATTCCTAGTATCGAGCGTGTGCGTTCAATGGCACACGAGTTCGATTATCCTTGGTGGCTGTGTCTAAACCATAGAAAATGGCACATGACCCCGGAGAAGAGAGTGAGCGCAACTCAAACCGGCCAGTTCTCGATCGGCGGGTTTCGGGCGGAAAGAAAATGAATTCCGAACCGAAAATTGTGTTCTGGGTAGTTTGGTTCTCATATGTCATGTACAAATAAACAAAACTTGGTGACCATAAATACCCTGCCAGCGTCCCTTTAAGAGCATGTCGAGAAACTACCAAAGATTTTATTAAGAAAGATTTTAAAGATTCTGAAGTCGAAGAGCAACGACATGGGAAGGGGAAATATCTCAATAAGAGAGAGGTTCCCCTTCCCTATCAAACAAAAATGGTTGGCGGAATTCGTTAAACGTTACTATAGTCACAGATAGGATCACAATGACGGCGTGTCTCTTTCAATTGTCCGGCCTCCAGCATGCACGTGCTGCCTTCCGCCGTGCCTCAATTCCCTCCTCGAGGGTCACAAGACGCTGAAACGTCGTTGAAGGTAGGCGGCTCGTGCTGGAAGCGCAGGAAACTGAAAGACCTCCCTGCCATTGTCATCCTGTCAGTGACTGCAAACAAAAAAAGCATAGTCATTTTCCTTCCGCATTTTGATTCGTTTAGTTTGGAAGTACCAAGGGCCTCGAGGAGTCTGGCCCGTAGAACACAAGCTGAAGAGGGAAGACGCACGACTCACAAATTTCCCGGCCAAGATGGCACAGGTCTCCACGTTCTTCTCGGTGTTTTGCTTCGAGAGGTACAGGAACTTTGCAAAGAGGCCGCCGGGGACGACGACGCTCCTCAGTCCCTGGGTGCCGAGGAAGAATGGCTCCGGGCTCAGCAGCGGTGAGGGCTTGGTGCTGCGATCCACCGGAGGGATCGCTCGCCTCACCACACTAAAACCAGAACCAGAGCCAAAATGAGCAGTCCCATGTTAACCCGCAGTACAATCACAGCGACAACTGCGACGCGTCGCAGCGTGGGCATCGGCACCGCATTTGCGCACCACAGGGCAACATTACTACAGGGTGAAACGAGGAGACGCCAGGCTCTTTAAATCGACCGGAAAATTCGGTTTCTTAAGCTATCGCGCTACGACTTTGTGCAGCGTTGCCCACAGATGGCGCACTTTTTTTGTAAAATTTGCAAAGAGCGAACTTACCTGAGAAAAAAGTGAAGAAACAAAAAGGCTTAGCTCCTATGGAAACGCAGCGACGCCACCGGTCTACAAACAACACGGCGCCGTTTCGCACGGGAGACAAGAGATGGCGCAACAAACGCCGCCAACGAACGAGCATACGGCGCCGAGAGCAGGCCTTTTTAGCAGACAATCTTTTCGACTCAAAAGCGGCGCGCGTTCCGCAGGCAGCGACAGTCGCAGAAACAAAAAAGACGGGCGCGGTAACAGCAAGGAACTGCAGTTCCTTGTCTGCAAAAGGGCCGGCTCTCGGCGTCGTCTGCTCGTTCGTTGGCGGCAGTTGGCGTCGCGACCGCTTGCGCCATCTCTTGTCTCCCGTGCAAACGGCGCCGTGTTGTTTGCAGACCGGTGGCGTCGTTGCGTTTCCATAGGAGCTAAGCCTTTTTCCTTTTTTTTCTTTTTTACAAAAAAAAATGCACCATCTGTGGGCAACGCTGCACAAAGTCGTAGTGCGATAGGTTAAGAAACCGAATTTTCTGGTCGATTTAAAGAGCCTTTCACCCTGTAGATCAAAGTCGGGTGACAAGCTTCCTAGAACGCCTGCCGTCTTTTCGTGGCGCGTGCGCTCTGTGGCACACGCTACACTATTGGCCCATTCAATGACGGAAGCTGCGGAATTGGTGAAACCTTGAATGCAGATTACCTGCGGTGGAATAGAATTCTATCGGGGTTAAGTTGTACATAGAAGAGTTGACGCCAGTGGTGCTAAGAACGCCATCCACCCGCACCGCCGATTTCAAACTACCGATTTCGAACGCTGTTATTTCGTGGAGCTTGTCAACTCATAGATCCAAGAATGTTGCCGTGGGGTGCATGAACAAAAGCATTCGGAACAAAATGGACATCTGATCTGACCATTTTGTTCAGAACGCTGTAGTTTCTCCTTTTCTTTTTTTTTTTGGAGTGCGTGAAAGCGTGTCCTTGGCACGAGCTCTTGGCATTGACAATGCTACGGTGGCATTTTGTAATTGGCTATTTCTTTGCATTTTTCCAGAGCCATACAGTGGGCATTGCATACTACAAAAACCTCGTATATAAGACAGGTTTGAAAGCGAAAGCCTTATATGCCTCTTCGTTCAGTCGACCTTCAGAAAACACGTCGGCGACACGAAAGATACCAAGGAAACGGCGCCAAAATTGCGTCGTCAGAGAATGTGCTGTCTTCAGATATTTGCTATCACCTGGACCACAGCTGACGCCACAATCCGAGTGAGCCAATGAAACGACGCCAAAAGTAAGGAGTTTGAGACGTTGCCTCCTCTTTTACTACCTTCTGTTGTGTTCTCTTCCTGTCCCAATCTCAGGTTTACAATCATGCCAAAAGTATGTCATCAGAGAGTGCGCTGTCTTCGAAAGTTTGCTATCACCAAGACCACAGCCGACGCCACGACCCCTCGTGAGCCCATGAAACGACGCCAAAAGTATGTCATTAGAGAGCGCTGTCTTCGAAAGTTCGCTATCACCAAGACCACAGCCGACGCCACAACCCCTCGTGAGCCAATGAAACGACGCCAAACGTATGTCATTAGAGAGCGCTGTCTTCGAAAGTTCGCTATCACCAAGACCACAGCCGACGCCACGACCCCTCGTGAGCCAATGAAACGACGCCAAAAGTATGTCATTAGAGAGCGCTGTCTTCGAAAGTTCGCTATCACCAAGACCACAGCCGACGCCACGACCCCTCGTGAGCCAATGAAACGACGCCAAAAGTATGTCATTAGAGAGCGCTGTCTTCGAAAGTTCGCTATCACCAAGACCACAGCCGACGCCACGACCCCTCGTGAGCCAATGAAACGACGCCAAAAGTATGTCATTAGAGAGCGCTGTCTTCGAAAGTTCGCTATCACCAAGACCACAGCCGACGCCACGACCCCTCGTGAGCCAATGAAACGACGCCAAAAGTATGTCATTAGAGAGCACTGTCTTCGAAAGTTCGCTATCACCAAGACCACAGCCGACGCCACGACCCCTCGTGAGCCAATGAAACGACGCCAAAAGTATGTCATTAGAGAGCGCTGTCTTCGAAAGTTTGCTATCACCAAGACCACAGCCGACGCCACGACCCCTCGTGAGCCAATGAAACGACGCCAAAGTATGTCATTAGAGAGCGCTGTCTTCGAAAGTTCGCTATCACCAAGACCACAGCCGACGCCACGACCCCTCGTGAGCCAATGAAACGACGCCAAAAGTATGTCATTAGAGAGCGCTGTCTTCGAAAGTTCGCTATCACCAAGACCACAGCCGACGCCACGACCCCTCGTGAGCCAATGAAACGACGCCAAAAGTATGTCATTAGAGAGCGCTGTCTTCGAAAGTTCGCTATCACCAAGACCACAGCCGACGCCACGACCCCTCGTGAGCCAATGAAACGACGCCAAAAGTATGTCATTAGAGAGCACTGTCTTCGAAAGTTCGCTATCACCAAGACCACAGCCGACGCCACGACCCCTCGTGAGCCAATGAAACGACGCCAAAAGTATGTCATTAGAGAGCGCTGTCTTCGAAAGTTCGCTATCACCAAGACCACAGCCGACGCCACGACCCCTCGTGAGCCAATGAAACGACGCCAAAGTATGTCATTAGAGAGCGCTGTCTTCGAAAGTTCGCTATCACCAAGACCACAGCCGACGCCACGACCCCTCGTGAGCCAATGAAATGGTGCCCAAAGTGAGTCGTCAGAGAGAGCGCCGTCTTCGGAGCTTCGCTATCACCTGGACAGTGTTGCGGAATGGGCACCCCCATTCCATTCCAATTCCATTCCGGGGAATTCGAGTTTTCGATAATTCCATTCCTTTCAACTCCTAGGAATCGGGACATTGGGCCCATTCCCACTCCTGGAATGGCTGAGTCGCTTCATTCCATTCCTCCAATTCCTAAACGTTGAAAGGGTCACTTGACAGCTGCTATACGTTGCAGGGTTCGGCACAAATGTTCAGAAATGTATTTGGAAATACAAATACTAGGATAGATGAAAATAGTTACTAAGATACTGATACTGAAGTCTCAAATATATCTATAAAAATGTATCGTGATACGTATCGGAAATACATTTTAAAAAGAGGCAAAAAGTCTTTGGAAATAGAAATACAAGAACACCTTTTTGGGAGGGCAGAAATATAAATATTGATAATACAATACATTTCTCAAATTTCTTTGAGGCGCCAACTGAGATGAGGCTTTAAGTTTGAAATGGAAGTTTCTTTTTTTTTTTTGGTCCCGAAATTACGTTTCCGCAGGCTTGGCACTTCGCCTTGAAGGTAGTGGTTCCGGACGAAGAGTCCTCAATGGGTTTAAGAAACGTTCCATCAAGGATTGACCGCGGTCCCTTCCCTAGCATCCTGTCTGACTGACCAGTGATGCGAAAAGACTTCAACCTCTAAAGTAAATTCCATCGAAACATCACCACTTCCCTGTCAAATAAGGGCGCCCCTGTCAGCACTGATCACATAACGTCACGGTGGGATGAACTAGTATTCTTGAATCTGTAGGTGTTGCCTTGAACATGAAACTTTACCCACGCTGCTGTATGAAAGGACAATATATACTTTCGTTGTAGCTGACCTCGTTGAAGACCATGCAGGCAGTTGCATTTGGAATTTTCAAGAAAAAGTGGACCACGTGAAGCATCCTGAAGCACATGTATCATCTTCTGTTACGGTTCAAAGAACGATACGGTGGCATCCCTGTTGTGACGGTCCTTCCTGCCGACTCTCCGCCTACAACGCATAAATGGCAGTCTTCAAGTTTCACTAGCATCATTCAAACAGAGACCTCGTGGATTGCGATCTGAGATGGCCGGCACAGGTGCGAGCTCTTCGAGAAACAGCGCGCTAGAGACGACTCGAAAGTGTACGAAGTCTGGGTCCGCACAGGGAGGCCACGTCTGGCCTCCTTCCTGGGTATTGGATCACCACAGCAGCAGGTCACGTTCACGTCGGCTGATGACGTACCAGCCGTGCAATATTACAGGCGCAGACACATTCGGATATGTGTTGAACTTAACTGATGAAAGGCGCCACCGCCCCCCCCCCCCCCCCCCCTCCCATCCCCCCTCTGTTCTTTGCTTTGACGCTTGTTTTTGTATTGCATTTTTTTTCTTTTGCGCATAAGTCTGCTAGGGCCTTACGCGGGTTCACAGTTTCCCGCTCATTTTATTTCTGAACAACCGACTCCCTGACTGGCTCGGTATAGCTGAACGTAAAAAAATAAATAAATAAATAAAATTTAAAGAACGTGGCCCATTCCATTCCCATTCCATTCCGGGCAAAAGACATCTAATTCCATTCCCATTCCATTCCGGGCAAAAGGCATATAATTCCATTCCCATTCCATTCCCCTGAACGTTGCCGCCATTCCATTCCCATTCCCATTCCATTCTGGGGTCGCGAAAATGCGGAATGATTCCGGAATCATTCCAACTCCGGAGTGGCAACTCCGCAACACTGCACCTGGACCACAGCCGGTGCCACGATCCGAGTGAGCTAATGAAACGGCGCCAAAAGTCCGTTGTCAGAGAGCGCACTGTCTTCGGAAGCTCGCTATCACGTTTACGTGACCACTCGGGTGAATGAGAGGCAATGAAATTAAGATGGATGACAAAGTGAATTAAGAGGAATGAAAGTGAATTAAGTAAATCATGTGTCTGTCTTTAATGCATCGGCGCTTGGGCTTTTGCCTTCAAGTCCTCTTAGGGAAAACATAAGAGACCCTGTGAATTTTTAGCGCTGTGGCATAGCTCGGTGGCAATGCCTCCGCTTCGCACGCATTTGACCCAGGTTCTATTGCCGCAGGTGGCAGGCACTCGTTTTCAAGAGCTTCTCAACATTAACGATGGACACCCACACTCACTATGCCGACCACAACACCACCACCACCAACAACAGACGCCACTTCCAGTGGCGGAAAGAGGCCATAACAGTTATATCTGTAAAAATCAAAAGGGTCTACTGAGTAACAGACCGATTAGCATGAAGTAGACTAAAGCTGCTGCCAACTATGTTCAAAAACGGTGATCTAGACGGAACATTTTAAAAGTGTGAGCTCGAAACAACACGGGAGGTCTACGATTCGCACCGAGATGTCTCACCATATGTTCCATCACACACGACAACTCCACTTCTCCTATACAAAGTTTAGCGGTCGCCTGTCGAGTGCTGCACACTGGACGTGGTCTTGGGTACAAAAAAGCCTCTGCCACTTCCTGCAAAGCAGGTGCCGTTTACATTGACTCTGACTTTTCCCTGGAACTAACTCTTCAACTCCTCCAAAATTAAGTAGGCACGCAAAAAATATAGCAAATTCCCGGCAACGAGACTTGAAAACAACGCTGTGTTTCTCTGCACTGTTCCGAGAAAATGAAAGAGAGGAGGAGACGAGAGCGCATGGGGACGTCAAAATGCCGAATTACGGCTCGAATAATTAGTGGGTAGACCTAAAGTTAGCTGCCTTTGTCCCCGCTGCACTCGTCAAACGCGTTAGAATGCAAAACGCCAACATCTGGCATTTGAACGGGTTCAACGAGTGCAGTGGAGACAAAGGCTGCTAGCTTTAGATCTACCCACTAATCATTCCAAGCAGAGCTCGGTGTAGAAAAATGCTACCTTTCGTGTAACACTTTTTTTTTTTTTTTTTCATTCTCACAATCCAAGGAAGTAAGTGCTTAGCATCATAGAATACTAGAAGCAAATCTTGCTCCTCCTTCCCACTTTCCATGTGTGTACTGACAGTGGCATGCTTTTGGCATTCCACCTGTGAAACAGCCTCTTTTTCTGTCTTCCTCCTTTCATTGCTTCCAGATCACTGCAACACAGATCTTCTCCCGCAACCAAATTCCACTTATGCAGTAAGGCCTGGTGGTAGTGCTGCATCCGCAACAACCGCACCAGTTGTTCGCCACAGTCAAACTGCCGGGTGAAATTCCCGACGTCTTTACGTATTTACCAAGTTCTAAAACCTCGCAGTCCACCAGGATTAGTCTGGGAAAGCATCGGCAAGAAAAGCACTTTTGCTACGCTGTCACTCGCAACCAACAGCATCATGGTCGAGATGCACGAAAATTACGAGCAATGTGTTGCTGCAGTTGACAACACCTAGGTCAGACTATGGCATTAGAACGCTTCTCCGAACGGCATGCTTAGCGCCCTATATTGCTAAGTATCAAAGTTTTCCTGAAGACACGCTCTGGACAACTTATGGTCAGCGACAGAAAACTCGGGGCATGGCGAGCCCCTTCTAAGTGTTCATCTTCGTTTGCACATACACGTTTCCTGAGCTGCGTTTCTTAAAGGGACACTGACAGCCCCCAAAACATTTTGTTTATGTTTTGCCAGGTGACCTATTACGGTGTCAGAAGACTAACCTATAAATATTTTGCGACAGCGTCACATATATTTTTAATAAAATAAAAAAAAAGCAGCTGCTCGAAACCGAAACTGGACTAGAGAGGATGAAGAAATATAGAGGAGGAGAAAGTTCCCAAAAATCACGTGGCTGTGCAACTTTTTTTTTTTTTTTTTTCAATCAACATTTGCAGTTTTTTAGAGGCTACAAGAAGCGGGCATATTTTTTGTCCATTTTTAGTAATGAGTGTGTGCCTTCAATGACCCACGACTTTGATTATCTTTCGTGGCTGCGCCTAACCGTTGGAAACAGCACGTGGCAATGAAGAAGAGAATGAGCGCGATTCAAATTGGCCAGTCCTCGATCGGCAGCTTTCGCACGGAAAGAAAACGAATTTCGAGCCGCAAATTGCGTTCTGGGTAGTTGGGCTCTCACGTGTCATGTGCGAATAAAAACCCTGGTGAGCATAAATGCCCCGTCAGTGTCCCTTCAAGGGCGGTTCATGCATGTGTGACCGCTTACAACAGAGTTATTTTTGACGAGAGAACATACTGGCACCATTTATTGGGCAGCCATGAAACACTTGCCATTCCTGTTTATTTCCCATACCTTTCTGCGCATCGTTCTTTCTTTTTTGGCTCGAAAAACTTCCATCAATGTTATACACGACCATTTCTTATAGATGGTACATACATTTGATCTTGCAACTACTGCAAAACCTTCGCTCTAGTGAAATGCAGGTTTACGGTCACCTCGTAGACGGTGCCAGTGTGTTCTCTAGCCGTAAAGATAGCAAAACCACGGTCGTAAAGAAAATACGAGCGTGTGGGCCAGCCTTTGAACTGACAGCCACGTATAGTTGGACAACAAGAGTCCAGACTCACTCAAGAGGCGCCGGGGCGCTCGGCTTTGTGGCTCGGGAGGGAATGCCGGGCGTCTGAAAGTCGTCTGCCACAGGGAACGGAGGCGTCCTGGGTCGCGGCAGCCGGTCCAGAAACCCGTTCTCGAGGTCGAGCAGCGTCGGGTACACATCCGACGGGGACACGGCGCCGGGGGTGGGCGTGGCCGGCCGCTCGGGGCTGGGCTCCCTCGTGCGCCGGGACCGCCCGGACTGGAGCGCAAACAGCTTCTGCTGGTCGTACATGAGCCGCTCCAGCTGCTCCTGCCTGCGGCGCTCTTCCTCGGCCTCCTCGACCTCTTGCCGCTCCTGGAGGGGACACGCCATGTCTAGCGCTCGCGTAATTTCTTTCCGCGTTTTCGCGAGCTCAAGGTTTATACAATCCCCGGGAATATCAAAATATTGCGTCACCTCATTGCAACCTTTCTTCCTCTCCACCACCCCCCACGGATTTTTCTGATGCCACAAGCTCCGTAATCTCAGTGCATGAATAGATGAATAGTAAGTAGCACATCCAACTAATAACAAAAACTTGATTACTGCAAAAAAAGAAAAAAAAAAAGGCATGCAAGCAGGAATGTTTGTTAAAAATGACTAAAGTGAGCTTGCTTGTTCCCGAGAGATCGCCCATCCCGTTTTTCTGGCTAAATATCTGTACCATAAAAATTCCGACACATCGCCCACCCCCCCAATTCCCGTTGGACGTCAAGCGATGTCCGACGGGAATCGCGCATCAACGGCGCGATCGGCGGGTACCGTTTTGTCCGAGAAGCGAGTTCATAGCGGGTTCCCGCTTTTCTGTCTGCGATCTCCGCGTGATATCGGCTCGCGTAACAGGCTAGTTGTTCCCACGTGTATATTGCATCGTGAAACCTGATTCTGTTGCGTCCGCAATCTGCGGTATTTGTGTCTGTGACATACGAGTTTGTAGCGTGTTCCCGTGTTTTTGTCTACGATCTGCGCGCGCGATATCGGTTTCCGTGACAAGCAAGATTGTAGCGGGTTCCCGCGTCTTTATTGCGCCATGAAACTTGAATGTGCTGCGTCCGCGATCTGCGATATCCGTTCCCGTGAGATGCGGGATTCCGCGAGTCCTTCGCACCGTGAAACGCGAATCTGCTGCGTGGGCCACTTGCGGTATCCTTTCCTGTGACACAGGATCGAGTTTGTAGCGAATTCCCGCGTGTTTATCGCATCGTGAAACGCGAATTCGCCGTGTCCGCGATCTGCGGTATCAGTTCCCGCGTCACGTGGTTTGTAGCGGGTGCCCCGGTGCTTATCATTAATTTTTGATAAAGGTTTGCTGTGGCATCCCGAAAGATAGCCCACCCCACGTTTTTCACCATTTATCTCTTCATTTTGGATGGGCGTCCTTACGGGATTTTACGGTAGTTTCTCAAAACGAGGGTGAAGTTTGGACACCGAAACTCTCGGTTCTGGTTCAATTTCGAGCTGAAACTGGGGTCTTTAGACTTGTCAAATACAAAGTTAGAGCCGGGAGTTTGCAGTGCGCACCAACTGGACTTTGGCGATAAAAGTGCAGCGTGATTGTCGCAAGGTTTCAATTAGTGAGCTCCCTAAACTTAGGACCCGACTTTCTGTTTGGTGGGTCTAGGACCCCCATAATTTGTTTTCTTTGAGGCCACCAAAGAGAAGCCAGGTTCGCATTTGTTTGAGCCTCCAAGCCGCTTCACGACCCCCGCTGAATCTTCCACGAACCCCTTGGCTTTGCAACCCACAGTTTGGGAAACACCGATGTAAATTTAAGAATTACCAGACAAGGGGCTAAGATTTACTAGAGAAGGGGGGGAGGTGAAGCCTGAATGGGATCCTTTTTGCACACTCCATGGAACTGTTAGTGCAAACAGAACATTGGCAGTTTTTTGCATTTTACTTTAAAAAGGAATGGCGGTTATAAAAAGCTAACTTAGAGTCCTGACTCAGCACTCGTCACCACAACAGCAAGCAGCTGTGACGACTGCCCTTTGATTCTCAAAGAAGAATGAAAAACAAACTGGCGATCGCTCGTCCCTGTTAACAGTGTTGCACAGTGTACATTCATCCGTACGCAATGCAGGAGCCAACCATGCTTGATGTATTCATGTTACGTGCCGTTTGTCTACCTAGGTAGACAATTCTCTACACCCGAGCGTACAATCTGGCATCTGACAAGCCTTCTGCATCTGGCAAGCTGGCGGCATGTCGCATTCACGTGACCAGCACGCTGCCATTTTGCCAGAAGCTGCTAGTTCCTTAAAGAGCACCGTGTCCACTCCACTAATTTTTTATAGAATCTTTTTGCCAGCACCACACTCGCAGGATTAAAAAGTGTGCTTCGGGCTAAAGCGGGATAAAAATAAAAACCTTACCTTATTCTTCAAAAGAATCTCATATTCTTTGGTGTACTTTTCAAGGAGCTTGGATTTCAGTTTCTCTGCTATGGGAAAGACCTCTTTAACTCTCTGAAAATTGAAAGAAGATATTTTCTAAGTTGATGAGTATAGTAACATTTGGCAGAGAATAGAATGATACGAAATTTCGTGGTTACCTTCTTAGTTATGTTCCACTCGGTCAAAGAAGCACTGCTCATTTCAGGATGTTTGGAAATTTTTTCGACGAAGAGGCTGTAGAAAAGTTTTTATAGTTTTTGTTAGTAATAGAAGATGTCATACTAGGCTTGAATAGTTAATGTCAACATACATGTTTTGTGCCGACTTAAACTTCACAAACTTTGCTGACCAAAAACAATGTTGTTTGTGAAGAGAAAAATGTATCATGTGAAAGAGTCACCCACAATAATTAACACAGTCTGCTACCGCTTTATAACCTATTGACTCTACGGATGATATGCAACATAAATGCCCTATTTATGGTACGAAAATAAAGCTCTAACATCAAACTAACCTACATAATTAAAGCAATACCAGGGTTATTTAGGTTACAGTTATATAGCTACAGCTATATGCATGTACATAACAACATACTGTTAGCACACTGTTATTACCCCTACTCATAAAGTGTCATCATTATGTGTTCAGTTACACTCCAGTGCAAAACATAAATATGTATTGGTCCTACTCAATGCCTTGTTCACAAACATTTGTGGGAGTCGTTAGACTTGAAGTTAAAATTACTGCTTTTATTCCGACCGCTAGAGAGCCGACCTCGAAGACCTGGACCATGACTGTGTCCCCTCAAACATCCTCCTCTTTTTGGCTGTAGGGATTCACTACAGGTTAATGTGACCAACTTCTGTTCCTTTGCTACATTTAGACATAGCTCTCAAACAAGAATAAGCCACTCCTAAAGTCCAGTTATAACCATCCCTTGTATTTTCTGCTGTTGTAAAGTTTGACTTCCTATTCAGAAACTTGAGCTGCCCTAGCCTCCCAGGGATGGTGCCTGGGAACCAGACAATCAGACTCCGACCTCAAACAGCGGGGACACCTGGAAGGCTCCACATGGGAATTGGAGAGGGGAATAGGCCCGACAACAGGAGCCACTAGCAAGGCAGACCAGATTCCATCACAAGACACCCAAAGGGCAGAAGATGGGAAAATACCCTTCTCTAATTCCAACATAATATGAGTTGTAAACAAAAGTTATAAAAGGGCTAATGTTCATTTTCAACTGCAACCACAAACATGTTTGGTGCGGGAACCCAGGAGAGCCAAACTCACTGACCCGCTGCTGCAGAGGACGGTGGTATGCTTTCTCTCTAACAAACATTGAACAAAGCTTTCAACACCTTTGCTGCAAGACAACCAAACTTAACAAATCACTGGTTCTACATCTAGATATGCATGTAAATGCCATAAATACATAATCTAAAGCACCCATTTCTTTCTCTCTCTCTCTCTCTCAAACTGGCACTGTTAGAGGAAAGAGGAGTGCTTATATATGAAAAATGCAAATTTGTCAGCAAAACCATTTTTGTTTTCCCTCTGAGGACGGGGGTTTGCTGAGAATTAACTTCAAGGTGTGTTTAGAATTACAGAACAATGTCTGCCCAAAAAAACAATGCTAATATCTGGCCCAAAAGCCAACTTCGGTGTTCTATGTTATTTATCCCCCGACACATTGAAAAAAGAGCTTACATGCATTCCATTGCACATTAGTCCAAAAGCAAGAGAATCGTTCCATGGTACCTAACAACTCATCAAATCTTATAATATGAAGAGCACCACCTAAGAACACCTTCGTAACAGGTTCATTCCTCAATTGCCTTATCTTTAAACACATGCAACAATTCGTTTGGCACTCCTACATCTGGTACATTTTCTTGCTTATCTAGGAAAGCTCCATTGAAGACTGCCCTTCACTTTCCCTTAAAGGGAAGCTGAAGCACTTTTCAAGGAATCTGAGTTAAGAGTGGACTTCTATAGCTTTTTGTCCCGTGAATTCAGTTATCGCACTTATCGCGGGAAGAAGTAAACGTAGACCGCATTTATTTTGAAAAATATGTGCAGCGATCGCCGCCGAGCATGCAGCGATCCTCTCTGCCACCTGTTATCTGTCTAGAGCGTTGTGATATCATTGGCAGCATCCCCGAGCCATCTTAATGGCAAGCAAGGGTCCGTACTGATGAAGTTACTTTTGCTAGCTTTTCTCTCCAATCTCGCACTTTCCTGCCCCAGCACACTGCAATGGGCGGGTCTATGTCGCAATTTTAATTGGCTATTACAACGCTCCTACTAACAAGATTGAAAAAAAAAAAAAAAAAAAACTTAAGACACAATTTTTATGGTGTCTACATTACAACTTTTATTGTTTGTTCAAATTCAAGGACCTCTCGAGCTTCCCTTTAACTGTCCCATTCTGAATTACTCTGGCAAACGATTGTAACCAAATGCCAAAATCACTGAGATTGTCACACTTGTAAGCGACTATTTGTTGGCCAGCACACAATTCTACTTTGTGTTCTCACAGCATTCTTCTTTTTTTTGCAATACATACAGCATTTAAGACATCTCACCATTTTGCAGAAAACGGAAGAAAACTGTTAAGAAAAAATGACAGGGCGACTCACGTAATGTACTTTGTGTACAATATGAAGGCGCTTTCCAGGTCCCCTTGCTTCTGGTAAGACTCTGCCATCCTGAGCATAGTATTGCCGGACCCAAAGTATCGCTTCAGCGGGACACTCTCGTCGATTTCTAGGGCACTCCCGGCTTTCCCCAAGTTACGGATCTTGACATGGGGGTCATACTTTTCCAAGCCCCTGCTGGCCGAAGGCATCCTGAAATGCGAGACGCACAACTGAAGGCATTGTGAAATACAAGATGCACAACCAAAGGCATTCTGAAACGCTAGATGCACAACCAAACGCATTCTGAAATGCAAGATTCACAACCGAAGGCGTTTTGAAATGCAATATGTACAACCGAAAGTATGCTGAAATGCATGATGCACAACCGAAGGCATTCTGAAGTGTAAGAGGCACAACGAAAGACATCCTAAAATGCAGGATGCACAAACACTGATTCAGTTGTAACAACTTGTACCTGGATAAACGAAAAACGCAAGCAATATAAGGAATTCAGTTTCCTCGAAACTCATTAGCTCGCCTATCACAACGCACGACTTCCGAAAGCTCACCTGCGTCTTGAAGCCCTGCATAAGAATACACGGAAAGGGTGTAACAAGACAAACAGAAAACGCAGACTTCTAGTGCAAGTGGATCAAGGTTAACGTTCTGACAGGCGAGCCAGGTATACTCGTGCGTTTGTTTTTTGTTTTTTTTGCGTTGAGGAGAAGGAATACAGGAAACGATTAAGCATTATTAGATCTTGATAGCCTTGATGTGTACCAAGCCTGCTTCGAGGAAGATGTGGCTTCCGAACGTCCAAGGGCGCTTGGACTAGGCTTGCGTTTTCGATTTTCTTTGAATATGGCGTACCAAATCTCCCTCGAAGTAGACTTGGTACGCCATATCCAAAGATAATAGAAAACGCAAGCCTGGGCCAAGTTCCCGTTGACGTTCGGAAGCCATCCACACATGCAAAAAGCCCTCGACGGCACAACTGTCACACAACCGCTTGCCAAGAATGCTCACCAAGCAACTGAATCGTACGCGCACGAAGCATACTTACCTCGTAAATTCTGTGGTGAGGCGGAAGGAAGATTCGAGGGAAGATAAGTGGCTGCAGCTGTCCCAGAGTCGTGCTCGTTCACATCGAGGTCGTGCTTGGACTCGGGCAGTTTTCCGGCAGAGATGCACGGGCGCTGGAGGTGGCCTTAAAATTTCCAGTGGGCAGGAGGCAAATGATGCGACACCAACGGGACATTCGGCGGAAACTGCACCTTGGGAACTCCCATCAATAACACTGTAATTAGAAATATACTGCTGATTACGCACACCACAACTACTACTAGGGACGTTGTAGTGCTTCACGATTTACGCAATTTCGCCGATTTCGCGACCTTATGATGAGACGGGTGAGTCATCTAGTGTTGACGTTCGCCCCCACTGTGTTCGCCCCTTCCTATCGTCCTGGAAATCGTAGCATCGACCGCCGCAGTGGATCGCCGCAACCGAATGATTACATAGCGTGAAAACTCTACTTTGTTTATTTGATAGATAAGTGTGAAATTATTTATCACTAATAATTCAACTAGGCTGTTGTGGAAGTCGAGATTTATTTAGTTTTAAGACCAACTTGTAGATGGCGGCAAGTGTGTCAGCAGCGTGAGTGTGTTTCAAAATGCTCATAGGTGGGGCCACTGAAGTGGCTTGGTCAGTGCACGTTGCCGTCTTGTTTTGAGGCGCGAAATTTGAATATATAAAATTACGTTTAAAAAAAAGTTGATTAGTTTGTATTGCTAGCCACTATGGGGGCACGGAGTTTCTTCAATCACTCCAACAGTTGGAATAAACCATCAATTTAGAACAACTGTTGAAAGTGCTAAAATGTCTGATATACACCAGCCCACTTGTGTCCTTACGTCCTGCACATAAACAATGTTTGCTCCCTTCAGCCCAGCTGGAAAGCTACCATGGGGAATCCCCTATTCACCCTTAATAAAGCTCCAATAAAATCGCAATAAAGTCGCAAATAGAAAGACAAAGAAAAAATGGCGTAGCAGGATTTAACCGAATATGATCACACACTCTGCTGTTGCGTTTTCTGCCTCACCAACACCGCTGACGTCCTATGTGTCATCACTCACTACTGCCACGGTCACTGCGTCGCAGTCACGCCGTACATATAAATGCGGAAATATCACGCTCTTTAACTTATAACCCAACCGATGACCACCTTTCGTGGCAATGCAGTCAAAGGCACGGGCACGCGAGCCCTCTCCCACTTTGAACGGGCTGAACAAAGCTGTGCGCGAGCTCTCCTCCTCTCCTCGGACACACCAAGAAACGCGAACTTTAGATCTGCATCGGTACGAACTAGGTTCTACGCACGTAATCACATGGTGCCAGCTACGCCCGATAACTTGCATATTTTATGGTCCGATGAATCACAACTCACCTTGATCTTCATAAATTCCCTTTACAAGAAGAACACTGAGGAAGCGATGTTTCTCTTTATCAGGTGACACACGTCGGCCACGTGGAGCCTTTTGTTTCTTTTTACTGCCGAAAAGATAACAAACTCTAAGGAACAAACTGTAGGTGCCAGTGGATAAAAAAAATTACACTGGCTCTATCGTGCTGACAAGGATCGAGGAACGCAGAATCCGTCGTGAATCAGCTGGACAGATGTTGTGTGTCTGTGTGACGTCACGTGACGTCACGGTGTCACGTGCACGTTGACGTCACAGAGTCACGTAGCCTCATGACGTCTCGTCGTCGCATGACTGCAACGTAATACGAAGGACTGGAAAGTCACGTGGCGCCATGAACTCACGATGACGTTTGGTGTCACGTGACAAAATCAGCCCTTCGTTACTGTTTTCTTACAGTATTCAACCAATAAGATTTGCGAAAAAAAAAAAACTTAAAATTCATGTTCGCGAGCTGACGTGATATAATGCATAGCTCGTAAATTTCTGCAACGGGTTTGTTCTATTACTCCGTACGCAGCAGCGATGACGTCAAGGGGAACTGTCCAACCGATTACGAATATGTATATATATTCGCAATATTTTGAGAATTAGATCAGCCTCCAGATTAGCCTGCTCGACCGATTAATTAATCGAAAGAAAGGTCACCTATCAATCGACTAAAATATTTTAGTCGCTGGACAGCCTTATTTGGAAGTGCTGATGCCAGCCTCGAGTAGCGTATCACAAGATGCAGTGGGTAAATAAAAAATAAAAACAAAACTTTTTTTTTTTTTTTTTGAGGGAGAGGGGGGGGGGGAAGAGAAGAATGATGTTAAACTAAACATTTTTAAACACTTGCGCAACCCGTAGGGGGAACACAGCGATAGCTGAGGTGTGACGTCGGAGTTGCTGGTGCCATTTCGTAGCAGACGGACTGAATGAACGGTAAAGGTGCGAGCGCGTACCATGGAGTAGACCGTTTCGTATTCATCCGAATAACAAACCGAACGAAAATTCCATAGCGTTTTGAAACCAGCATTTCAGCTACCTGCGTAAGGAGGGAGCGTGTTTTTGGATGTCACTTCGGTACAAATAGTCACGCATGCCAAACGAAAAGAGCCGAATAAACAGGGACGAGGAAGTAGACAAGGCGAAGTGCACTCTCAAATGAAGGTTTGTTGAAACAAGCGCACACTACCATCGTTCTGGCTATTTGTTTGGGACATTAAACTCTGTCTATGTCAGGCGAATTGGCGGAGCACTAATACACTGGCTTTCCTCTCGCTTTTTGATGCAGAATGTATCGTTAAAGTTCTAAGACAGTTTTATCTGCGTATCTCCCGAGAGGTGTTGTTGGTCCTAATTCTGGGTCACGTGGGCGCCTATCCCAATGCAATGCCAGATTGCCCGGTGGAAACTGTTTGACTGACCGTGCATGTTATCTTGCTACCATGCATAAGCATGCATTTGATCTTGCTTGTTTGTTATCCTGTTATCAGCGGCCCGGCCCGTGGAATGTTTTGGCGGAGGGGCGAAAATGGCCCGCGTTGATATGGAACGCGCTAGACGGCGCGAAATCGCGAAGTGTCCCACTCACAACTATCGCTGTAATATCGCTTCAAAAAAAAAAAAGTAATCAAGGATAGGACGACGGGCAGGCGATCACTTTTTCCAAAGAATGTGGTCATCTGCCTTTCTTCAACTTTTTTTCTTATTTTTACTTATCAAAATAATCACTTGAGTTAACACACGAATGTTTTTGCCAACCCAGCGCAGATAGCACCGTGCCTCCTCGCGTAGTGATCGCATCTAATCTTTTCTGACGAAATCAGTAAAAAAAATCGCTTCTCAAAGAATTAGGTGCGCAAGCAAGCATCCGAAGTAATAGACATAACGCAACAACTTTTAAAAAATGTGTTTTTATATTATTTAAAATTTAAGACTGCCAACGGCATCTGAGGTGCATCTTCGCTGAAAATGAGTATCGTTGCAAAATAGTCCTCGTATAGGTCGGCAAATAGCACAGGAAAACCCGATTTACCTCCGTCTCTTTCTTGATTTACTCTTAAAGCTCAGAGGAAGTAATAAAAAAAAAATACCGGTGTAATCAAATGCACTATGCGCGGCCGGCACGGAGTTATGCTGTAAAATGTTACGTCTGGCATATGATATGATATACTATAATATAATAAAATATAAGACAATATAATATATTATAATATAACATAATAAAATATAAGTTAATATAACATATTATAATATAACCTAATATCATGCAACATATATAATATTTCAGGATATAAAGTAACTTTCGATAATTTAACTCCCTTACGGGCCCTCGAGTAAGAATAAAATTGGCGGGCAGAACTGAGGCAAAGATGGAGAAGACAGCGTGCGGGAGCGTCAGAACGAAATAGAATGTACAGTCTCCGGCGATATGAAAGACCCACTGGGAGCGCGTGGCCGAGGCGGTGGCTGGCGGGGGCGCTGCGAGCGCTCCGGGCAGTTCCGTTCTGCTTCGAGGGGAGGACACTCTCTCGGGGCTCAGCTAAAGCGCGCGCTTATCAGTTTGTGCTGAGCCCCGAGTGAGCGTCCTCCCCTCGAAGCAGATTGGAATTGCCCGGAGCGCTCGTAGCGCCCCCGCCAGCCACTGCCTCGGCCACGCGCTCCCAGTGGGTCTTTCATATCGCCGGAGACTGTACTTTCGAAGTTAAGTATACAAGTACATTTTAACACAATCTTTCATGATGCCCTTTCGTTCCCCTGTACGGCGTTTCAGGGGAAATCGGGGGTGCTTCCCTTACTTTCCAAAATGGCGGCGAACATTGGATAAAGTCAAGCGGTCAAGTGTCAAGTGACAAATTAAAAAAAGAAAAGAAAAATAAAGGATGACGAAATGTTAGGCTATAGGTGGCGCAAGCTGCCACCGATTACAAAGGGTATAGCCATTACCACACATCCAGCCACATAGTATTTATTTTCAGAAATGGTGGTAAAATCAGAAATCTTCTGAATTTGGCGCCGCCTATAGACCCTTTCAGGCAACATTTCATGGGCGCCGCCATCTTGGCGTCACGTGACCCTGCCGCCATAGCCGCCCTTCGGTTTCTCGCCGTTCCTCCGCGTTGTGTGCTGCACCGGCCACTACCGGAGCTTTGTTTTCGCGTTTTTTTACGTCCCGCGTTGAAATCGTGTGTTTTCTTTAGGTATTTTCGATATTTCGGGCTTTCATTTAATCATTTGGTATCTATATGTCAACATTAGCTCTTGTATTGTTTTATTTATGAAATGGAATCCGACAGCGAATGGATCGACGATACAAGATTATGGCTTTAGAGACTATGCAAGTTCATCCCACTCTAACGTTTTCGTCGCTAATAAAGGGCAGTCAACACCATTGCGACATATGTAAATTTCAATTGACGCAGTGAGGCTATCGCAGTCGTGCTTCTCGCTGCATGCGCACGCTCGTTTCTGCAAAGCCGACCCGCATGTAAGCGATTTAGCGTGCGACGAAACGAGCGACGGCGACAACGACGAGAGTCAGCGACGAAGATTTCTCACTGTCGCCTGTTGCATCGCTCGATTTTTTGGGTTTCTAGAAAACGTCGCTCACCGTCTTGGTCGCTTGCTCCCGTCGCTTCCATGCGGTGTTCCTCGTCGCGCGACTGCCAGAGCGACAGCGAAGCGGGTCACCGTCGCGTGTCTCGTTGCTCGCCGAATCGCTTGCATGCGGTTTATACTTAATATCGAAGCGCCAATGCTTAAGTGCTGTGTGAATGGGAATTAATATAATATAAACCGCATGTAAGCGAATTGGCGAGCGACCAGATAAGCGACGGCTACCCGCTTCGCTGTCGCTCAGTCAGTCGCGCGACGAGGCAAACCGCATGGAAGCGACGGAGCAAGCGACCAAGACGGTGAGCTACGTTTTCTAGAAATCTCAAAACCGAGCAATGCGACGGGCGACAGTGAAAAATCTCCGCTGCTCGTCTCGTCGCACGCTAGATCGCTATATGCGGGTCGGCTTTACAGAAACGAGCGTGCGCATGCAGCGAGAAGCACGACTGCGATAGCCTCACTGCGTCAGTTGCAATTTACATATGTCGCAATAGTGTTGACTTCCCTTCATTAGCGACAAAAACGTAAGAAT